TCAGCGGAGAACGAAAACATCGACCGGGATCCTGCACATTATTTTCGAAATAATAATAAAAACTGTCTCGAAGATACGTGAAGTCCGCCAATCCACAGTGGAGTCGCGTGTTGTACTATACCCTAATGTACAAAAGAGGTCAGCAGTGGAAGATCTGTAGGCTGTTACTTTACTTTTTTTTTTATTAAATTTTTGGCGCAAAATGTTCAAATATCGAATGGCTCGATGGTGTTGGCGGTTTCGCATAGGTGAATGATTTACTAGTGCCGTATCCTGTGTGTTTGTTAGATACGCACGCGCACCGGAAACGCGAATAGACGCGCCGCAGACGCACGCACTTCCGCCGATCACGGGCGTCGAACTCGCCACCTGTCCACGCCCTGCCTCACTGTATGGGTGCAGAGTTCGCGTGGTAGTTTCCAGAACAATCTGTTGCACTCAAACCATATGGATTTTCAGTTTCAATGCGTTGTTTGAGTTAAACGGGATTGACCACATTCAATTCAACAAAAAGTATGCAACTTAGCTTATTAATTTTTGCTTCTGTTTGTGGGAAAGGTCCTTACAGTGGCAGCTCTTACTAAGTGTTGATGTATAACCACGCCACGAAATAATTCTTTTAATGAAGCGATTCTGAACAAGAGTTATTATCCTTAGTTATCCATAGTTTCTTGTAGCCATATGTAGCTTTCGCATAAAAAAGAATCTAAAATATTGATTTGGAATTTAATAAACTCCATATGTATGTCATCTGCAACCAACCAGGTGTTGAAGGCGTCTATGAGCGGAGGCAGTTACTTAACATTAGGGAACCAACTCGCTCGAACCTGGTCGCTTGTCAATTTTTTTCACAAAAAAATTTGTACGACTAAACGGCAGCGTGGATATACTATTGTTCTCTTTACCTTTTAAAAAAAATCGAATACTATGTTGAATATTAGAGATGAAAAAGGGAGCGACTATTCAAACGCTGCTCTCATCGACGGGGCAATAAAAAGCCCGCTGAACGCCGGTTGCATAAAATAATTGAAGACGAGCGAAGCGGCTGTTGCCACCAACAAAGGTAGAGGTGTGCCACGGTCCGGCCGACAGCCGCATTACCATATGCAAATGTCGACTAGTATTACACGGCTTGCGCGTATTCGGTTTTTGCCACGACTAGCAAATCGACGGAGTCTCCACTGTACCATTGGTTAAACAAAGCGCTTTGGCAATTCTCGAGAAGCTTTCGACGAGAATTATTTAGTGCAGTAATACGACTATACCAGTGACGATAAAAACGAATGGAAAACGAACCCAGTAAGAGAATATTCGCCGTCGCCTTGATTAGTCGAATGGCTGTTATCGCATTGTTTATTATCGTTATTATATTTAAATGTATTAACTGTTTCAGCGAAGGTAATATTAAATAATTAAAAAAATAAAATAATTAAAAAAAGGGTCTTCACTAAAAAGTAATCAGTTGATTTAAGTTGTATAGAAAACCAAAAAAACTTTGGGGTGTAAAGATTTCTTAGAGAGAATAACAAAAGCGGCCCGACTGCGAGTCAGACTCGCGCACGAAGGGTTCCGTACAATTATCTATAAAAATTACAAAAAAATTATGTCTGTTGACCCACTTAAATATTTATTTATTTTTTTTATTCTATTTTGTAGTAATTGGTGTTATAGCAGCAACAGAAATAAATAATCTGTGAAAATTTCTTCTGTCTAACTATCACGGTTCATGAGATACAGCCTGGTGACGGACGGGCAGACAGATAGTCATACCCTTTGAGTATGGAACCCTAAAAAGTGTACACGATAATTTCAAACGTTTCCTACCGATGTACATGCATAAGTCAAGAGTTTATTTATTTTTATTGAATTGTGACTTAAGATGTCTATGAAAATACAAGTATTCAAAGTAATTACATTAAAAAAGGGCCTTTTGTATAAAAGATTTAAAGTCATAATTGATTTGTGCGCACAACTAAGTGTAATAAACTATTCAAAGTCCAAAGTGGCATTTAAGTATTTCATTTGATTTCCTTGATTATTCAATAAAAATGGAGCTTTACACACATATTAGGCTATTCACATTATATGGCGTATACCCAATATGTGTATCGCATAAAGAAATAGAATAAAAAAAAAGGTTTGCAATTACTAAACACTAATTACAATTTATGCTGCATTATGGCAATATCTCTACAGACTTCTTTCTTGAATATGTAACATACTCTACGCCAAGTATGTGTTATATTAATGCTTGAGTCTTTATAAGGTTACTCTACATAATATATTTAAAATACGCTTATAAGTTATTTATACTTTTTAAATACGATACGAATGTAGAGCATTTGCTACTACTGTTCATAGGAGGACCTTACCCAGGTGAAAGCCAAATACCTATAGACTATGAACTAGCTTATAGTTAGCTACTTTTTATATGAATAATGGCCAAAAATTAGGCATCTATTACTTTTATGTCTTTTTTAAACCTCGAAAGCAATATAGTTCGTATGTCCATTTTCTGAGTTGCAGTTACAGAGCAGAGTACATATTGTAGTATTTGTTAAAATAATAGTGTTTAAAAACTACTAATCTATAATCGTAATGACGTTGGAGATTTTTTTAAGTTATTCCTTCTTGATTTCAGATTCAAATTCAGGAATATTTAAAATTTGAACTCGGATACTATAAATTACTATTATTCTAGATCAAAATAAAAGAATTTTGTATTTTTACTATTTGCAAATATATAAAGTTTCGTTTAGGTTTTTAACGAAAATTTTAACGAAAATCGACTTGCGCACATATACGCCGTTTAATTTTATATGGTATGGTTAACTTTGTTTTCATGTCTTCGATCGTTTTTTATAGTTGCAACATTTTATATCTCGTGATGAAAACCACCGGCCGAATTGTGATGGTTCTTCGACTATAATTTGTTTTCGCTGGCATAAAGCTATCTTACAGTGTTCCCGTAAAATATTTTCTGAACACCGAGATGATGGGAATGTAAGATGGAGCCATAATTTAAGTCCATAATGCCGCCGCCATTACGCAATGGCGAAAGATAACCGATTGTAGTGGTAACTTTTAATGATAATTAAAATAGCCGTGTTTTATTACGGCCCAAGAGGCTGGGATGTTTAATTTAATTGTTTAATGTGTACATGAAAATTATTATTATATAGACGTAAAAGTTTTTACGACGATTATTTAAATGGGTAATTATTGCGAAAGTATAACTTTCAATAAATACTGAGAGTCTATGGAGGTCTAGAAGATTTATACTTTTAATATGAATAAGCATTTTTTCTTTGTTTGAAAAGTTGCCAAGCGAGCAGACGGTTCACCGTATGTTAAGTGAAAACCGGCACCCATAGACATCTGCCACACCCGAGGGTTACAGATACGTTGACAACCTTTTCAAAATTGGCCTCCTGCCACCTCACTCACCAGACGAAACGCGAAAGTATTATACTTCCTCTTTACGCCGGTCTTCTGTGAGGTGGTGATACTTACCGGGACGAGCCCATTCATGCAACAGCCAAGGCTGCTGCGTGGCCATACCACCGTAAACCATTTGACGTAATATATTTTATTGCCAAGACAAAATATATATTTTTACATGAAAACAGGTATTGCTGTTTTTTGTATATTAAATTATTGTTTTGAATTTTCATGTTTTCATAGTATTCCTCTTTGTGCAGTAATAAATATTTCAAATCGTTGTCGTAAATAATTGCTTATTTAATAATTATCCAGGGTATTTATATGTATTACTAATTTAATAGTAATAAGAATAAGAATAATATTTATTCAAATTATAAAGTGTTTTCAAGCACATTTGTGGTAAATAGCATACGGAATATTAAATTATTTTTGAACTGTACGGTTCTGACCTCCTAAGTAGCTCTTTCCATAATCTTTAGAAGACTCAGTTCCATTTAAAATTATTATGGAAGAACTACTATGCAAAACATGATTACTCTTAACCGCAGCGAGATTTAAAGTAACAACAATTAAGAGAAGAAATAAAATTCAATTAAAGGAAATGGCGAAGTTAAATTGTGCAGCTTAATAGAGTAATTATTATGGAAGAACTACTATGCAAACTATGGTTACTCTTAACCACAGCGAGATTTAAAGTAACAACAATTAAGAGAAGAAATAAAATTCAATTATATGAAATGGCGAAGTTAAAATGTGCAGCTTAATTGTACATGTTGTACTGTGATTATCGTTTACAGATGAGTAGTAGTTGTAACGAATCTTCGCAGTGAGCAGGTTCCATATGAAACTGCATAATATACAGCTCCATAGCTGAACATATACCTCCCCCACAGTCTGCCACGAATTACGATCCATGGCCACTGGCATCCATCGACTTCCTGCACATTACACATCACTCCATCTAGTGGGGGGTCGGACTACGCTGCAATAGCTTATTGATAGAAGAATGACGAATCGGTTGATGCTTATATAGAGAAACAAAAAAACCGAGCAGGTGAACTTCGAATGTAAGGTTTTGATAATATATAGCGTTACCGAGGAAGAACTATGGCCTCACAGAAGACCGGCGTGAAGTGGATGTGTTATACTACTGACTTTCTTTCGTCTTGCGAGTGAATTAGCCTGGGCCCACCTCATTAAAAGGTGGTAGCGCATCTGCAACCCTACGGGTGTTGCGTTTGTAAGCATAATAGTGCCAGCATGTACATTTGCTCATGATAGCACTTAATATCGGATGAACCGCCAGCCCTTTTGCCATATTCTCACATTGAAAAAATGTTGATCGACGGTTTTACCGATTTATCTATTCGGCGTATGGTATATTATATTTGACTAATCAAGTTCGGTTAAAATTACTTACGGGACCCGAAGATTGACAGCTATAATGCATCTTCGAAGGAATATAGACCTGATCTGTTTGTTTCAGTAGGGCATAGATATCAGATAAAGATATCAAACTGAACCTGGTGATCACGGAGGTTTGGGTTTTCACGTACCTTTTGGGACGCCGAGGCGCAGCTGTTCCTTCTCCCAGGAAGCGAAGGTAGCCTTCAGCGCCTCAGCCATCTTCTTGTTGGTGCCGGGCGTGAGCGGGGGCACCTGCGATGGGATGTCTGAAACAATGAAGTCACTTCATAAATTCTAAGCTTTGGAGAATTCTGATATACGAGTAGGATCGCGTTTATTTTGAATATTTCGTTAACCTCATAAACGAATTACCCTACGGGGAATATAGTTGTTGCATTTAAAGAAATATAATTTAATAGGTGTTTTCAAATTTAATATAAATTAACATTAAAATTTAATAAGTGTCTTTAAATGGACGATATGGATTACGTTTTATTGAAAAACATTAGTTTTGTAGTTTAGTTTTCCCCCAAATCAGATATTAATATGTGGTAGGATGGTGCGAAAGACCAGATTTTTATATCGTAATAATTTATATTCCTCGATCTTTTTTCATATGACATTTGACATGTTCTTTTTTATAAATTCGATTTTTTTGAAAAGGGAACAAGATATGCAAACTACGTTACTACAGATTTATATCTCCCGAAGACTTGATCTTTAGTTTTATGGAAATAAAATAGGTTACTATGTGGGTACATCTGCCTCCTCGGAGACCTTAGGTTGATCATAAATAATGGCCAGAGAAACGAATCAATCTGATTCTGAGTCTGAGCTCTACTATAGTTTGTCGAGGCATTACGCGTCCTTGTTCCTATGGCCAAGGAGGTTTAGAATCATCTAACATATACGCAGGCTTAATGCGATCAATAGACACGAGTACTGCTTAAAAACTAGTCTCCTCTCACGATGACCCGATATGGTCCCTCGCAACCTACGTAAGGTTATGAGGCTTACGAACAGCATCATACCTAAAGGCATGCGTTGTTATAGCCAGGTCTCTAGGTACACTTTTCAAAAGTGTTTATAAGGAATTACTGGCGTTGCTTTTGGTCTTTGCATTTGAAACTGCAGGCGAGGGAGAAAATCATTGCACACGACCAGAGTATCATGGTCTAAGTATTCGAAAAAATCGCCACGCAAATATAACTACTGGCCGTAAACTAACACCGCAGTGGAAGCCGTTAGGTCGTTTTTCCATGAAATATAGTAGCAGGACCTCTGGCAATTTCGATCTGATCCACTAATGCAAGGCAATGTTGAAACCTTGCGAAAGGCAGCGTCTAACCGCACTGACGATAAACTTTAATAATAATAAACACCTTAATCTTTAGAGATCATTTATTTTTATCCCTTGGTCTTTTCACTCTGATATTTTATATATTTTATAAATTTGAAATAGATAAAAAGAGAACGATACAAATGTTTCAAACAACGTGGATAAACATTAATATCTCCCGAAGGACTTTATTTTTAATTCTATGTAAATAAAATTTAACAGATAAAACATTTCAAATAATGTTTTATCTGTTAATCTCAGTTTGTCCATCGTTAGTCAAATTAAAAAATAAATTAATGACTTGTTTAAAACGTCCATAAGTACAATGTGCTACATTAAGTTTTAAAGGCACATAACGAACCATTTACTAAAATATGTAAAAATGCGCTTTTGCTCCAAGATTTTCATAGTTGAATGTAGTCTAGTTGAGTATGTCTTGACAATAAATATTTATCATTCTTGAAATTATTATACAATTAAACGATGACGGGCTCATAAAAATGTTCATGAAAAAAAAATTTACATAATATATCCATTCTGCCGATGACCTTTGCAAAATAAGAATGTTTAAACATTTACAATTATTGTGTCTTCATCAGAGCCATGATTTTGGCAATTCAGATTATCAAGAACAATGTGAAATTCGTCGTTTATGAAATAATACGTTCATCCGATTTGTATACGCTTAAAATGAATCGTGTGGTTCTCATCAAAGTATGTCCAATCCTGATCTTCATGTACTGTCGTATCAACAACATCAGAAGCTCATCGCGGCCGGGCGCCGCTTTCGGGAGTCCATATCTAATCAAAGGCGGTTCACATCTTCCGAGATGACTATCTCCCGGATTGATATCTTTATCAAGTGTATTTATATTTACCGAGCGCCGGCGAACAAATTAATAGTCGATCTCTTTCGAGACGCGACGGCTTCGAATAAAATAAATCAGTGAACAACAGCAATTGCGTGCGTGTGTGCGAGCGAATGCGTGCATGGCCCATTCATAAGTGCGTCAGGTTTGCGCTGGGTGTGTGCGTGGGCGTGGGGCGTGCGTGTGCGTGCGTGGCCTGCACACCTGCCGACCAGTTCTGAGATGCGGAGATTTGTACTCCTCTCCCACGGTCGCTGCCCCGAGCCCCGATCAGTTCTAGCTGAATCCTGCTCTGATATCATTTAAATGTAATAACTGTGTTAATTCTTCACAGGGCATTCGTTTCATTGATTCAAGTTGTGTTTTTATTAAGTAATTAACTTACAATAACTGTCAGTTTCCATTTCCGGTGCGAATATGGTTTGATTTGTAACGTATGTACATTTTCACTGCTCGTACATATTCTACCCTAAACAGGGTCGATGAGGTTCAGTTTATATTGCTACTTACCATTGAATCGATATTAATATATTACTGTTAAAAATGTTAATTTATATAGATAGTAGAATCTCATATAATTATGATCTTTAATGTTATATTTTTACCGATTTCGGAGCTGTCATGAATTTCCTTAGCGTAGCACGAAGACCTCCGTTCGTCAGAATTACGGGGCTAACAAATAATCTCATCGCCAATTCGCAAGTAGATTTCTCCCGAAAATAGGTACAGACCCTCAGGTGTCGGGTGATTTCACGACAATGCCCGCCAAGGCATTAATTGCGTTGGATCGATGCGTTGTGATTTACTAGCAACATCCCGCGCACCTGCACTTGAATCACGATTACTGTTCTCTGCTTACGGCCAGTGATAATTTCGCTGCAAGTACAAGTCATGATCCAGATAATAACAATGCTACGTACTTAGTTCGAAGCGTACCGCTAGATTGATCCCTATGGTCTCAGTATATTGCAACATTTTTTTTTAAATTATGTTTCCAGTATTGAACAATTTTAATATTTATATACGTTAATATTTTATTTAGTAAAATGTGTATAAAATTAAATATGTCGATAGATTTAGAATAAATGAATACTAGAAATGTAAAAAGGCTCATAATAAAAACTTGATTATGGCTTAAAAAATCTAAAACTGTGCTCATTTGAGCAATCAAATCGACTAATCTAAGAAAAAATCAATTGGTATTCAACAAACAATTTGACATTTGCCAGCTAAAATAAGTCTCATGATTAACGTGACTAAGAAAACAATATGCTTTTAAATTTGGATTTTATTATAATTAACTGTGATTTAAAACTTTTTTAAATAATTTATTAAATGGAACTACCTATGGAATTTACTGCTGCACAAAAAATATCTAAACATAAAAAGTTATAGCTGAAAATCGTTCTGCAAGTCAATTAAAAAAAGGTTCTCCCCGTCTCTATTGGAGTAATGTCACTTTAATGTTCCTTTGTATGTCAGCCTGGACTTTATTGAGACGTTAATTTTTTATCTTCATTCAAACTGGAAGCTATTGTTTCGTAAGTGAGATAAAACACCGTGGTTGCATCGTTGGCTGCATACATCATAGTTGCATTTTAAGTAATGCACTTATACAGGAATGCACGATCACTTCGATGAATATATAAGTGGATGCCTCACATACGGTGAACGCGAAAAAAGGACGTTATTGATTACTTACTTAGGTATCACTTTTTTTAATGTTCACATTTATTCAAGTTTTTGCCTTTTATTATTTCAAATTATTTATCATCTAGCAATCTTATCCGACTTTATAAATGTTTTCTATAATTACTTGGAACACGAACTGAATTTAGTACATATAGAATACGAATTACTAATAAATAAATTGTGAGCATTTTTCACATAACGAATTTATTACTAAACAAGCTTACGGTTGTGATTAAGAACTTGGGTAAAGCTTTTTTATCTTCACCATCTCTGTGAGTAAGCGATAGATTCGTTTTAATTGCCATTGCATCAAGGTCACTTAGCCTTTATTTCAGTCTGTAATAATGAGCTTGGTTTTTCGCCATCTGCCAATTGGATGTCGTAGGCGAGGCACAGCTGCGTGGCACGGAGGAAGTGTTAATTTCTCGGGCGACATTCGTACGTATCGACATTTGCCGAGATGAGAAAAAAACAACGCGCTGTTGAGATTTCCGTTTCCGCGATTAAAGTAATTAGTGCGCGGTGATTTCGGTTTAATCGTTGTATTTTCACGACAGGCAATCTGAAGGGCTCGATATGCCACGGCGTATACGGTCTTGGTGCACGATTAAAATACTGATAATGAGCGTGATCCTGTAGTTCCATTCCATAGCGTAGTGCATTACATGTATACTTTTTAATAAACTCATATACACGTCTGTTAACAGGTCCAAAGATCTCATATAGAGACGTCATTACATTGTTGTATTTGTATTTTAAATGTGCTAATTTAAAATCTTACGGTGGTAGGGCCACGCAACAGTGTTCACTGTTGCACGAATAGCCAGGCCCGTCCGGGTTAGTACCACGACGTCACAGAAGACCGGCGTAAAGTGGAAGTGTTACACTTCTGCGTTTCGTCTGGTGAGTGAGGTAGCCGGGGCCCACTTTATTAAAGGCTGGCAACACATTTGCAGCCATACGGGTGTTGCAACTGTTCATGGGCAGCGGTTGTCGCTTAACATTAGGTGAGCCGTCAGCTCGTTTGCCACTTCCTCACATAATAAAAAAAAATTTAAATAATTTAAGCTGAAGTGGCCATATAGCTCGAAGAACCGATAACCGGGGACGAAAGTTTCAACCAGACCACGAGTGGATGAAAAGAAAAAATCCTTAAGGTGGATTAATTTAATAAGTGGACTTTCGTTAATAAGTCTGCAATACACAAAACTACCCAAATTAACGTATTTAATGCCAGTTAATTGCAAATCGACATCGTTTAGTGCGGTCTTGTTCGAAGCGCTGGATATTGGCGCTCTGGAGGGCATAAAAAAAGGCTAAACTCAAAAAATAATTTGAAAACGAATTCTCATTCCTCAATTTAATTAATGAACAAACATTGCTGCTATTGTAGTATTATTTATATATCAAAGTCAATATGAGACAGTTTATTTTTGTTCGTCAATGAAATCGAAACATTTTGGAGCCCATTAGGAACCGATCTCCGGCATAATATCACGAGTCCAAATTCCAGGTAGTGCCATCGGATCAATTTAAGAAATTAGTGAGGTTCAGAATAGCATTGCGCGTGGGTCGAATCATGAATAGCGTGAATAACGGAACAATGGGCAGGAGATGCGGCCGGCCGATTCACACCATCTCAAAATACTACTAGGACGCGCCACAGCCTTGAGAGAGCCCAGACCCACAGCTTTTGTTGTTTTATAAGAAACCTTTTCAAAGAACATAACTGCCAAGTCCTAATTGATAAAATTGACTACATGTAAAACTCTAACTTCCTATCATTGAAACAAACTTTGGCAGCGACAGTAATATGTAGTTCATTTTAGCAATAAATTAATATTAATGAACTCTACTTATTCATATTAACACTAATATTACCACGAGCTTGAATTTCGAGCACATGACAGTTTATGTACGGATTCACTACTTGAGACAATCTTTACATTAATTAGATGGATAACCAAAAATTTTATTAAAATTATACTTCTTATGGTGCGTTTGGAAATAATTATTAGAGTAAAATTTTTATCATGCGCGCGTACACCGACAGCCAAATTCGACACGATAAAGTTGGTCGCTTTGCGACCAACTTCACGGTGTTACCATGGCAAACAATAACAACATTTTGTAAAATGTTGAGTTATTTTATTTTGTTACGCTAAAGAAGTACAACTTCTTACATGCGTACAAAAGTACGCACATATTTTTTCCAACAGCTAATGCGGTATACATTATGTTAGCGCCGCGGTTAAGCGTGTGGATATTATGCAAATGCTCGTCGGTTCAGTAAGCAACAGGTGGTGAGCAGGGGTGTATGGGGGAGCTTTATAGCCGACACTTGTTGCGCTCGCCACGCAAGTGTGGCTCGGGCAAGTTGCGTTCGGTTTTAGATCGCATGATAAATTTGGTGCTACACGATTGTTCGCTTTTCAACCGACTTCGAAGAGGAGGATTCCCAATTCGATTGTATGTTTATTTTTTCTTTGTTTGTTACTTATTTTCTTCATGTACCTACATTTTTGGTATTTTTATTAAACGAAATTCTTATAAACAGTATCTCTCATTAAATCTGCGCTCAACGTTCAATGAGTCGCTACGTCATTATGAACCCACCAATTTGGACCTCGGACTCCGGAGATACATCAGGGAAATTAAATAGAAAATGTATAGTGAGTGAGATATTTGAAGTCGGTTTTGTCTTTTGTTGATAAAAATGTACTTATTCAAAGCTAAAACGAATTGTTCAGAGCTAGAAGTTAATTGTATATTGGGCCATTCCTTTTTTTACGCAAAAGTATTCAAACATCCATGTATGTTGAAATATGAAAGCTATGTATTTCATTATCTATAATATGTTCCTATTCAATTACAATAAAAATTAGAATTTGTTATATGATGCTCTGTGTATACGTAGTAAAACGATCATTATTTTTTACAACTGTGTTTGCAATTGTTTATTTAATAAAAAAAGACAGCAGTTTGGACGCGGAACAGCAGTCGACCGATAGAACAACATCTAATCATTTGATTACTCAGTAATATTTTATATCTATCTTCTTACAAAGTTACGTCCGAGTTCTGAGAAAAGTTTTATTTCACTTTGATAATCTATTTAACTTGTGCATATCGGTCTGTTCTTTAATAGAGGGGTTTTGAAAACGGTCTGGTGTTCGCCGAGTGTTTACCTCACACGGGCCCGCATCACAATGGCGGGCTGAACAAAAGCTCGCGCCATTTTTACCGCCTCCATTGTTCGCCACTTGAACTTGGAACGTCGCGTGACGTCAGCAGCGCGTGCGGCGCAGCGGTCCGCATTCAAATCGGTCTCAGCGGCCGGCAGTAATTACGCTAAGAACTGTTACCGATGGCCACTCGATTATGTAACAAATGATGTCGAATTACGTCTATAATATAATAATGCAAGAGGAGAGTAGCCGAGATACATTTAAAATAACTGTATCCAGCTGAAGACGGTTATTTCGACAGTACTCGGTTAATGATGCAAGTACAGTGGAACCTATTTAAGTCTGACCTCGATAAGTCTAAAACCTCCCAAACTTATAATGTTTTTTTCCCTTTCCTTCAAGCCCCAAAACCTCAATTACTCGAAGTCTCAACCCTCTATATAGAGGTTGCAAGCAAGCTGACCTATTAAATATAATATGACTTAAACTGAATGTTACTTTAACAAGATTTGTGTAATTTTTTTGGTTAACGAAAGGATAGATGAATATATGAATTGTGAAATGATGAGGGGATGATTTTGAATATTTAAATACAACTTGCTTACATTACTTTTTTTTTATTTTCTTCATTCATACATTTTCTTAGAAAGTAATTTCCGTAAAATTTCCCACTGAAATGCCCGTATCACCCCGTCATTCGTTCAAGCATAGAGAAGGGTGTAACCATAATGCGGTAAATATGTTATTTCAAACGGTTCTCCATCCACTGACGCATGAAATGACTTAACAAATGCTTTTAATTTAATTAAATGAAACATGACTTCTGAATTCACACGTTTGGTTCACAAATATTTTATACTGTATTTTATGGTAACATTAATTATTTTATTTTTACAATGGAGATAGTAAAGTATTACTGTACTTGTATATTAGACAAAATATGGTAGTAAGGGAAGTTAAATTACAGATCCTAATAGAAATCCAGACAACTAAGCGTATATATTTTTTTAACATAGCCTAGTACAACTTTTTTTAGGAACGATGTTCAAACGACTTTGAGGGATTTTTGTCAATATTTGATGAAGTCTGTGTTTTCATTCACTAGCTATGCTATGACAAACCCTGGTCCATTAATCCTATCTAATTTACCACCTAATCTAAATGGAAAGTAGTAGAATTACACACGTTGTCCAGCGAAATACATTTTACTTAGAACTGGCTTTGATTTGGCTAGACCAGCCTATGGTAAGTGCCGGTGCAGTCTTTTATGGTAAAGGCAATTAAGGCCAAGTAACTTTTTCTAAAAAGACAAAATTTACAAGGGTGGAAAAAATAGCCCTAAGCTGAAAAATAAACAAATGGAATAATTCGCCAGCGTTGTCTTTTGTCGAACCGGTATGTTCACCAAGTATGGCTGCTGTCGACCATTAGTTAGTTGGAAATGTACAGAGGCACTTGAAGACATTTGCAATTCTATTGCTCTATAATGACAATGATCGATAGTATAAACGAATCTAAAAGTATGGGAGGGTGTTGTGCAACTCCACACGCATCATGCAAACGTTACAATAACGGAGGCATCAGTTTCGTACGTATCTCGGCGGCCGCGGACGTAGGCGATGGACCTTTGCTCAATGACATAGGCGGCGCGGGCGCATCATCTCATTGAGCGGCCACCGGATGGACCAATCAGCGGCGTGAATGGACGCCCCCGCTGATGCTGCGCTCGGTTATTAGCCGCCGTACTAGATAACGTTGGCTTCTTTGTTATATCCGTGAATTGACTCGCCGGCTCGCATGTCTCCGACGGAGCAGCCCGAATGCGAATGCTCCATTATCGTTTTTTGCTTTACATAACTTGTTTCCGATTATATTGTATCGGATAAAGAATGGAAAATATGTTTAATGCTTAGAGTTGAAAATTTTATAAATCCCCATTAAAACAATAAAGATGCATAGGTTCCACATGAGAGGTCAGATCAAGAACAGATGTATTTAAATTCGAAAGTAGTTTTATATCGTGCTGCTCTCATATTCTAAGTCTGTTGATCGATTTCTGCCAAATCAATCATGTGCAGCCAGCCTTTTAAAGACTAACATAGCTCTACGAATCTGAGTAAAAAATATGTATGTAGGGAGTACTGGTCGATTATAACATTGGTAGCTTCTTTAGCGTAGATCAGTAATACAAGTTAAGTCAATTAGGTCACATTTGACAGATGCGAATATTGCCTTCGACTATTTTAACTGAAATCTATTAAGGGCGCATTATCATGTTTTAAACCTCCCACAAGGTGGACGGACGACCTAGCCAAGATCGCAGGGACGCGTTGGATGCAGGCCGCCGCGGTCGAAGTGGAAGACAATGGGGGAGGCCTATGTTCAGCAGTGGACGTCCTACGGCTGATATGATGATGATGATCATGTTTTAGATATCGGATTGTATTTGAACCGCGATTAAAGGGTACCCTGGTGTATACATCCGATCAACGCAAATAGCCATGTGAGAAGACTGTTCGAAACGCACCGCAGCGTCCGCGATAATTGGAGGCACCAGATGTTGTGAAGCGTTTCGGTTGCGTACAAACGATGTTCGCATACAACAATCGGTGGGGTATGAGCGCACGGCGCAAGGTCTTCACTTTCAAGATCATCAGAGCAGCGCGGGGAGCGAGTAATTACGGTAATAACAGCGCCTTGCACAATCTCTCGCCCTAAGGTTCACAGCGGACATGCGATGTTTCGAAACAGGTGGACGCGGCGACGGGGCGTCTCGTGTGCCCGTTTCATTTAACCCGCGGCTTATCATTAGGTGGCCAGTGACGGGCCGCGGACAAAAAACTAATCGCCTTAATGATTTTACCGGTCGCACGCTACCGATCAAAGGTCGGAGCGAGACCTGTGGCTGTTACAGAATCAATTCGGTTGAGGTCTCTGTTGGGTGATATTCTTCTGTAATACTGTTGCTTTTTGCTGAGTTAGTAAACGACTAAAAGTAAAAGAAAAGTAACAGCCTAAACATCTCCCGCTGCTAGGCACAGGCCTCCTCTGTTCAGAGGTTATTAGGATATAGTCCACCACGTGACCCTACTGCGGATTGGCAGACTTCACATATCTTCGAAATATTTTTGTTATGATTTCGAAAATATGCAGGAATGAAAGAATATCACGATGTTTTCCCTCACGTTAATATTTTTGTCGCAACCGTCGAGTACACGAAATTTAAGTGGAACATTATATTATGGGGCTAGGAAAACTAGCTGAGCACGATCATCCGCAGGTCGGCGTACAGTTTTCGTCCTCTCATCGATATCCCCATTACCTTGGCTGGTCTAGCGGAGCAACCCACGCGTACTAAATTCGCACTGGGCAACTGTAACGAACTCGTGTTTCATCGAACGTTTGCAGCGTGTTGCCAACACGGGCCGTCGCGGTGCGTCTTCGATGGAGCGATACGCATCAGGAGACCCGGCGTTTTCATATTTTTTTTCCTACGTCACGGCTCGTTCACATCGGGGGCAAGTGCACGCGAAACCGAGAGTGTTGCGTCACCGACGAGGATGATACCCGCGCCTTTTCACAACCGACGCGCCGTTGCGAATTGGCATCGTATGGGCGAGCCACACGAAGGTTGGCAGATTGACGCCACCTAGAATTAGATTTCGGCATCGCGTTAAACGTGCGGCATTTTTGTCGTGCCATCAGCGCTTTGAGACATTGGAGATTAGAATTTGTAGAAAAATGGACGGAAAGTTTTTCGCCGCTGCGGTAATCGAACCTGCATCTTCCGTGCCCAGCAGTGTAACAACTTGAGTGCAAAGTTTAGCACTATGAAAATTTGAATTTCATCGGAGATTAGCTTTATTTTATGTTAACTTTAGTTGTCTGTTCTTCGATTTAAGATTTCTTTCACGTAAAATACGTCGACGTGTCTTTCATCAGTTCTATTAAATTAGTTATATACTATAAGCTCTATAAATTCAGTTACACTTTCTATTGACTGTACTTATATATAATGGAGTTCACATTAGCGCTTTATATTATTCGTAGTAATAGCACTAAATATTTTCCCTTTGTCGCTACGGAAAGTTACAGAAATCGTAGAAGTTGGCTTGTGTGTTATAAATAAGAGGGCACAGATAAATTATTAGCTTGTTAGACTCACCTTTAGGCTTATTGAAAGCTTTCATCATGACCTTGATTCCCATGCCTGCGATGGCCACTGTCGCCCGACGATTGTGTGCTGCGGGCTTAACCTTCAATTTGAAACCCGACAGCAGGTCCACGAACTTACAAAGTCTTTATATCGTCCTTAAGCACTGTTCTATGTACAACGTCTTTGTTTGTAATTTATTAGAACAAAAAACAACGGTATTTTATACACGCAACACTTTATCTAATTTATACAACGACAAATATCACACTGTTTTATTCTCGTCCGAACGTCAACATAAACACTCCTCACTGTTCTTCATTTTGCCGTGTACTATGTATTACGTCACAGTGGAAAAGTTCATTTCCGCGGGGGCCCGTTGCTCATCGGCGGTTAGGCGCAGCGACACCTGCATCGAGACACATGTAGATATGCAAAGGAGCGCGGTACACGCGGTTTTCAGCGCTCGCGACGTTGTCCTTCGATAAAGCAGCCGATAGAACCGGTATTGTCGTAGGCGGTCGAAGCCGCAATTAGGCGATAAACTCGCGCTCACGAATTTCGTCGCGTTTCGCCGACGGACGGGCGTTATCCAACGGCGCGAGCATTCCCACAGGTGCGCGGAACGATCCGGCACAGGCGTTTCCGGCCCGCTACCCCACTTACCGCTTCCCGCCACCCCCGCCGCCCCTTTCGCGTCTTCACCCCACGTCAACCCCCCGCCGCGCTCGGGGATGTTCCCACAGCGGCCGCCGGCCCGTGACGGGCAATTTCGCCAACTTACGGCCCTATCTGCCGCTACATCAAAACTATTGCTCACTAAAGTATCTTCGTTAACTATACATCGTGTTTGTGAATTACAATCGAAATGAAATGAAGAAATCGCTGTGACGGTATTTAGTTAACGGAGTGTAGCTGTGATCGAACGCGTTTTGTACACTTATTAACGATATTTAAAATTCGACTTTAATGGTTTTTACACCTGACTGCAACAATGTTAACATAAACTAGAGAGTAATACGATACGATTGCTAACTGTGTTTGTTTTAATCTCAAAGTTCAAGTCTCTAAATTATATGCATAATTATTATTAGAGGGTTTTTTGTTTACTTCCGCGGGCGGATACAGCACTATATCTCACAGTGTTTTAGTTTGCTATAAGTCCTAAACAAACTTATATGTCACAAATATTCGTCTATTCCAAAATTTACCAACGTTATAGCTGATGTCCAATGCAAAATTTGCTTCGATCATTATAAGATTTATAATAATAAAAGGCTAGAAAGTTGAGATTCCTGAAGATGCAATGAAAGGCCACTTGTTGCACTTTACTAACAAGGAAAGGCAGCTTTAAGCCGGCTCGTTTGCATATTTAAGCTTCAGTTTCATTGAAGAACATATTCACAAAAGGCAGGTTCTATTATTAGTTGTAAGAGACAGCCATTTTAGTACATATTTGTGTTTAACACAAATTTTAATGTTATAATCTACTTTATAATCCAAATATTATTGCGGTATATCCACATTGTCTAATCCCATACGCATTGCTTAGTGCTGTAACGTAAAATATAATAACGCGGTCGTTTAATAAGCATGTAAACATTCGATTAAACAAGTGCAACAAATTGAGAGGCTTGTTACTGGTAGCGCTGTCAGAGTTCAAGGGTTAACTGCCCGTAAACATCTTCATTACTTTTTAATAACCCGCAGGGGAGGGGTCGCAATTGATTGGTTTGTAGGGATTACGGAGTTTATCGGGCCGCAAGCTAAGCTGTTGTTAACGAGTTGCCCGAACACTTTTTAATTGGAGCTTTGAACGTTCAATGTATATTTTCACACGGCCATTGTGATATTTCCCGGAAGGGGTTCGGGCGTCGATATTTCTTGGTATAGAACCTAAATAAAAAAATGTGGTCGAAGGATTTTTTTTGTGTCGCGCAAGCGTTTTAGCTTGCACACTTGCAAATTAATTGTTGATGGAGCGAGACGTTCATTCGCTAAAGACGATTTTTTTTATAACCCCTTGTAGGGCCACGCAACTTTCTTCGCTGTTGTGCGAATGGGAAAGTGACACGACCACACAGAAGACTGGTGTGCAGTGGAAGAATTGTACTTCTGCGTTTCTTCAGTTGAGTGAGGTGTGCGGGGCCCACTTTAAAAGGTGGCAACGCATCTGCAACCATACGGGTCATGCAAATGTCAATGAGCGGCGGTAATCACTTAACATCAGGTGAACCGCAAGCTCACTTGCCACCTTCTCACATAAACAAATGTATTAGATTATGTAGATTGTATGAATGTATAACAACGGAACTTTTGAAACACGCCGCATAATATGCGTTCAATCTAACTTTGTTAGCATTGATGGGGGCATCGAATTAGCCCTAATAAAAATCAAATTTGTTTGCCTCATATGTGGCATGTGGCAACTTTGGAAGACACGTATAATTTTATAACGTATGTTACAAACATATACTTTGAAGTTTTTAAAGCTACACAAAATAACACACTCGTTAGAATTAGGTTTTCTAATTTCAAATAAACTTTAAGGGATTAATAGGTTAAACAAAAATCTACAACATTTAATATTAAGGACCTTTAACCGAATATATTATTCCATAAACAAGTTAAGGCTAAGGTTTACTGTGCCCCATTAGGAGTTTATGGTATGTAAAATGTAATTTTAAAACTGTGTCCTTATGTGATAACAATGCTAATAAGTTAAACAAGCCGTTTCAACATCCTTGTAGCAACAAGAGCTAGAAAATATACGATAGAAATAATCCATTAAAGTTATGATATATATGTGCAAACGCCTTTTACTATTTATGGCAAATTTTTTATTTGTTTTCTCCGCGTAAACAGTTTCTTTTATTAAAATAATTTAAATGATTTATGGACTGTATAATATTTTATTTAGACTACTATAAAAAGTTAATTAGATTGATATTATGTCCTGTCGTTATACTTGAGCCAATGATTTACGTATTAATTTTCAAACTAGTCTCTTAAAAATTAGCCCCCAAAATAAATGGTATTCTCCTAGTGAGTTAAATACACGGAAATAGCTGATAGTTGAAAATGAAATGGAAAAAACTCAACCGAAAGTCTAGAAAATTCTTTTCCAATGGCCGTCACGATCCTTTGTGGCCGTGTGCAGGGGCTATTGAATATAAGCCTAGTTGTCCAATATTGGAGGACAATGGGAATATAATGCTGGCTCAACAGCGACTATATAACGAATTAATTCATACTCATTCGTGCAGGTTGTTTGCATTTTGCTCTTACACACGAAACCATTTGCCGTAATCTTTTCAGACTGTCGTTTATCTCTAATTCGTTCAATACTCTTTGGTACAAAATTAAGTCCACAATTTTCAGTAATATACCACTTTATTTACGAAACCGACAATAACAGCGAAATTATGATAGCAACTTTCCCAGTTTCCTATAATTATTTTGCTGTTTTTACGGCGGGTAACATTCCAGGGAATTTGTGGCTTCATATTTGTTTAACGAAATTGAATCTTACACCTATTTGGTTGTCAATATACAAAATAATTAGCCCGTGAAATCTATCTTTATACATCCAATACAAAGGTCAATCATGTAGTGTACGGTAGAGATTGCCCTCCGTTTCTAGGGTCAACTAACTCGATTGTCGTACCCAATTTGTACACCCATCCTTTCAAACGGAACCGATGCGCGATGATCGGATAATAAATCCGACCCAATTGTTTCTGTGTCAATAAATCATAATTTGTTTTACTTGTATACATACGTCCGGTTTTTTTTGTAACATAGTTGAAAAGATATTAATGTATTATAAAACATATATACGTGACAAAAATACATTGTAATGTTTGGTTGTCAAATTTAAATGAAACAGGATAAGGCATATTTATACATTTCGGTTAATCTGGTCTAATGCACAAATTTAGAAAATTTAATATAAGGGATTAAGCGTCCCCGCGGAGAGAAGCAATTAAAGCGGTGTCGGTTTAATTAGAGCCCGAGGCAGAATCTCAACGGCAAATACTAGGCGTTGGATGTCAATTATTGCGCGGGATCAACTGGGGTCGGGGCTAATTTGTTTCATCTTCGACCCCTCTTAATAGTAAAGTGGACACCCGCATACATTTTGGACAGTCATTGGGAATTTAAGGTATAAATAGACGGAAGCATAACAAGTAATTTTGTGTCGGAGGAAATCAATAAAGGAAAAATGTAAAGTTATTTTTTTATTAATAATATAGTTTAACGTCTTGAGGATTTCTCCATTCTCATCATACCATTGTTCATAATGAGTTATCAAATCTTAAAAGTTTGTAATTTCCTTTGACGAGGCATTGCAAACTTAATGTGGCCGAATGCGGGGCAAAGGAATTAGTACGATACGGCCTTTCGTGCGCCGACGGGGCTGCTTTTGAAAACACGCTTGTTTCCCGCGCTGATGTTTTGACGGTGCGTTCGCGAGATTTCCAACGCGGCGTTTTGCGCGCTCCGCGAACGGATCAACAAACACCGCGACAATGGACTCTTCGGCGAAGCGTCCGTGACGCGGGGCGCGTTGTTCAAATGTGGAACAATGCGAGCTTGTATAACATTTCGGCGTGTTGATGCACGCCAACAATGTGTCAGATGTGTGCATTTTGCGCGTAAGCAACGGAGCTTTTACGTAAATTGTTCTCGCATATAATATAGTCCGTACGCATGACGCAATGCAATCATGATCGATATTAATTTTTAGAACAATTATTAAATTGTTCTAAAAATTAATATCGATCGAATGATTACATTGGAATGGTCTATTCATAAATATGTTAATAAAAGTGTCTTTAAAATTGTTAGTACAAAGCTTGAACACGAACGATACACGATAGGAGTGGGCCGCGTAGCCGCAAGCGATTTGACCTCAGACCGCTCAATTAAAACGTTGAGGACTGGAGCGACGCGTCCTCTACTCCCTGATCTATGTCAAATGTATCATTTATTTCATTGTGCTTCTGACAGTCGCTTGGATTCAATGATCATATATTATTTACGGCTAAATTGATAATACACCCGACGGTGTGTGTCGCTGTGTCTTCTAAACGAGGATGTACATGCATTTTAGGACATATTCCTCTAACTACTACTGTTATTGTATAGGAACCTCTTGAGTAAGGGGTATTGTTTTAATCAAATTTGTTCACGATAGTAGATCTTTGCCCACCAAACGTATAGGCTGTTAAATTACTTTTAACGATTTACGCAACAATATTGCCTTCGATTTTCAAATGTACGCCTAGACGTTACTTTATAAAGGCGCGAATGGATAATTGTCATGCATTTGAAATTATTAAAGCGTGTCGGCTACTGAAACGTGGCGATAGTGTGTCACCTCGTTTCCAGATACGCCTATTACGCGATACAGAAAAGTGAGCCATTACTTCGGTGTACGGCGGTTTAACTGTAGTGTCAATGAATTACACGCTCCTAAAATAGATCCACCTAATAATTGGCGACCAGCGACACGCGACACTTATTGCTTTGTACGGGAATGGGTACGGTGGCGAGCTTTTATTGCGAGAAACGTGGAGCGCCGGAAAAAAATAATGTATGAATGTACGATAACAGTTTTTCTAACGGCCATCCAAGTTAGGCTAGGAATAAACCACGCGTTCTAAGATCTGGTATGTGCGTTACTCGCCGCCTATTAGGGCATATGGATAGTTGTCGGTGGCCCCATTTTTTTTGCAGCGCGTGTCATATCTGCGTATTAATGAGTGTAAGGCTTACGCCACACCGATATAATCTTAATACGGCAATTAAGTTGCCGAGAAAATGTTGAATTTGCGAAAGTTACCGCGCTTTCCGTTGCTCGCGGGCTCCGAATTCTAAGTGTTTGCGAATGGTACGATATCAGAAGTTGAATCTGGTTCATAGCGCATTAGAGGATTATTTAACCGTTTATCGAAGCGTTAAAACTCAGATGAGGTTATGTAACAATCTTAATAAGGATGAATGTTATGATTAGTTAGAGGACTCCAGTTTCGGGCACAGCCTCAGCGTAGCGTTTTTGTTAGCACGGCGTTCCAGTGTTACCTAGGAAGGTTGTCGGGCCCGTACCGGCTGGTGTTCTCTAGGCTGGAGGCGATTTCTGGGGCGAGGCGTGGTGCAGCGCGCGACGCCGCGCGGGGCGGTCTCGCCGTCGATTGGCGTACGCCTCCCAACGCCTACGCGCAGGCGCGCCGCAACGCGCGCGCGGAAAAATCGCCGCGCGGAAAAGCGGCACCGGCGTCTATTTCCAGATGTGGGCGGGAGGACAGCCGAAACGCCGGGAGCGCTTTACGACCGGCGACGCGCGTACGAACCCGCCGACGAACATTGGCGCCCGGCGGAATAATCACCGACCGCGCAATCCCGCCCGCCGCGAGCCCAACGCGGTACGTTTCTTTCCGCCGTACGCCGTTCGAATTTTTATTGCGACTACCCGCCGGCCGACGATACGAAGCGACGCAGACTCTTTGTTAGGAGAAAAAAAATATATCGGCGCGTTCATTAGACATTCAAATGAATACGTTTTCAGTACTTTTGTATGTTAATTCAGCGGGTGAGGTTAAGTTCAGTGTCGCAGCCGTTTTATGTAACACTTCGGTGTGAGAACAAAAGCAAAACAATCCCTTGATTCCATTTTATGCGTGACGATTGGAAATTACGATATTTTCCCTGTAAAACAATAATGGAAACTATTGAGACATATCTACAAGAACAGGATGTTTTTAAAATACGTGTAAATGTGGACAAACTCCATTATATCTCAGAAAGTTATGCCCTAAGTAATTAAAGTATTAGTATTAGTATAAGATTGTGTCCGTAAATCTTAGGTTTACTGAGGCTTTTGAACTTCAAATGGCCTTTCTATTTTTTAACATGATGGGGGAAAGCTGGTAATAGTGAGCGCAAACGATGTTTGCAATATTTTAAAAAATGACAATAATATTTTAACAGGATTTCCTGATTAACTACTGACATTCAAAGTTGCTTATAAGTCCTCTTGACTATGTACTACTCATAATAGCAACGAATTAAAGAAAAAACGCTTTTTACAAATTTAAAATAACATCGCTTGTTAGTGTGTGTACTGTGCAAATAACGTTAAGCTCTGAAATATGTTTTGTTTACTCATGTTCCTAATTGTATTTATCCATATTAAGATGGGTAAATTTATAAAAATTTTAGTGTTCTTATTCTGTATCACCCGTTCCATCGCCTGCCGAATTCGACCGGGACCATTGTCGCTGGCATTAGCAGCTATTAGGAACGTGTTTAATCGAAGCAATAAACATAAAAACATTGAGAATTGTCAAACACATTGATAAGGTTATTTGTATAAATGTGGTAATTTGAATTATTATTGCAAACAGCTTTTCGCGTAACGACTCGCCCGGAGGATGTTTAACTTTTAATTACACCTTTGTATAATTAATTAATATTCAGTACCATTAAGTACGTTATAAAAGTTTAATTTATTATAGAAATACCTTGAAATGTTGTAATAATGTGAGGGGACATATTTCGATCGAAAAGCGATGACCGGTTTCGTATGCGTTAAAATAAAGCATATTTAAAGTGAGACTATTTAAACAAATAAGCTGTACAAAACGAGCAAACGACTTGCATGTCAAATTTTGGTTTAATCTGTCTTTGAACACAGTGAGTCACCGGTGGATACGGTTCGTTGGTTACGAAAATTTGATGTTCCGCGTGGCTCAATTCGATCTCTGACAGTCAACGGTCGTTAATAGGACTCTACAGCGTAAGTTACGTCGGGACAAGTCCTAAGTTATACTCCGAAAATACTGTAAACGATGATTAAACCCAAAGTGTGTCTTGCGCGAAAGAGGGGGCACGCTATGAACATGGAAAACATGACGAATGCGCAATTGATTGAGGTTGAACATAACGCTGCGTAGATGTTGGATAATTTTGCAATCAACGTGGCATGACGGGGGGAAAACGTTCGCTACAGTTCGCGACAAATACAACACAGGCGGTTCTATGTATAGTCCAAAATAAAACATCAGATAGTTAGTTATTCGCGACGAATTATCTCTGGCGGGATTGCACAATGATTTGGTTTTTGTTGAATCCCATCGGACGATTTTGAATAGCCTCTAGGCTCAAAAAACAGCTTCGTAGCAAATCCTTGTGCAAGCAGGTTTTACGTGGTGCATAAATAGCGGCTGATCAGGTTCTTTCTATGTATTTTCGAAGTTACTAGGCTGTACGAGCCGGTTTGCGTCTTAAATTCAAAGTGGAAACTCTACGCTCGCATTATTTAAGCAATTGTTCAGCGTTGGCTGCAATGATCAGATCTTTATTGCTGTTTTAAGACAGCATAGTGAAATATACATGAAATAAAAACGTACGCAATTAAAAAGTAATAAATGAAAATGGTGAAAATATGAAAATTGCGTGTGCATATCTCACTATGCTTGTATTAGAATACTGTGAAGTTTTATAGGTGTTGAAGTGCTAAATTGTATTGTTGCACAATACAATTACAAGGTATCGATATCAAAATTGAAATTTAAATGGCACTTAAGAATTTTAGCGCGGAATACAGGCACGGTTCGTGCGGCGTAAAAACCCTAGCTGAACCGTTCAAAGGTTGCTACCCTAAATGGGGTCTGGCGATGCTCTTATCTATGTGCTATTGTTTAACGCGCTTTTTTCATTCCCACGCTCGTTGGCGAGCGGCGTCTGATAACGCGTACCTGTCGCCAACACCGACACAAATGCACGGTTTTAAAATTCACTCTGAGTTTTTGTTTGTTTTCGAACGTGGGGCTTTGTGTTGCTTTTCATTTTCTTAGCGTCCATATCAACAAAATAGTACTGTCACCGTTGCAAGATAATTTTAGTTATTACATGTTACACTTATATTTTACAGTATGGGTTTGAAAAATGTTCGTTTGCTTTTCACTGTGAGACGAACGTTTAACACGTATTCGGCTGATATATCGAAGGACAAAATGATGCGTGATACAGCACTATCCACGTTTAACCGATACAGAAGATACGGAACAATTTCGTATGTATCTCGTGGCGGCAGAAAGCGTATACGCGAATTTAAATATTCAAATAGAACGGCGTCAAACAAAGAGGAGCCTGGAACGAAGAGCAAACTTCGCTGGCGTGCCCACGCGTGTTGGGACAGACATAATGTGATGGGTACATGAGCCCGAATCCATTATCCAATGACGTGAAGCAATTACCCATTTAGCGTAATTTGGGCCATCTTTAGTGCGTCCAGCGGGGCTGCGCGCGTCCTCTGCATCACACACTCAAGGGTCACCGGTTGGCGGTTTGGGGATCACACGGGGCACTGCGCGAGCACATATCGCGTGAGCTCGAGGTTCGTGGCGGTCATCCCGGGCCGGTGCGGAGGGGCGTCCGTGCGCTACAGCGATCCGTGCGCGACTAAGCGCTCAATGGGCCGGCGGTGGGGCGAAGCTCCGCCGTCTCACACCCAGCGAGCTTACAAAAATCACCAATTGCAGTTGTCCCCCCATTAGGCGCTCGGTGCGACACTTGCGATATCGGCGCGACATAGACGGTATCGGGATTTGGCCCCGGGCTAGGGCTCATTTCGAGGAGCCACCGCGGACTAGCCTCGCATCCGGTGCCACCTGCTCGCACTCGGGAACGCGACGCGCGCCAGAGGGAGATGAAGTGATCGGCCGGAACGCAGACCGGATGGCGGACTCAGTTATGAATGAATGTGCCGTCCCTGTCCGGCGGACGGCTCCCGGATATGTGGCTCTCACTCGCGCGGCCCGCCGCCGTAGAGGAAGTGAAAGGGACGGGCGGCGTAGTAAATATCGCGCTCCGTGGCCCCGGCCGGGAGTATTTCTATGGGCCTTCGGTTTTTGTGTCAACAAAGGATAACCGTCCATTCCCATTCATAGATTCGGCGTTCGCTCTGGGCACCCTTGCCCGTATAATCTCGGGCTCTCGATTTTCAAGTGCTCTAATAGAGACATTTTTTGTTTCACGTTTTACGAATATTGGGATATATCGTCCTATAAAGTGACTATGGGTACGGGAAACCGTAAATATATCAACAACGACCAAGTTTTTTTTTTTTGCGAGATCGCCGTTTTGTTTATTATATCCGAACAAGTGCTGCACCATATATAGTCTTTTTTGATACCTAAGAATAGGATGATATTGAGGTTTTTGTAGTAATATAAAATGTATTATTATACTTTTCTCTTCGTATTGATGTTTTAATTAAAAAACTACAATGAAATGTCAGAAGAAGCGTACAGCGCGGCGACCAGCCAATTACGTAAAAGTATAAAGTAGAGCAAGCAAATCAGCGTAGAGCACTCGATTATCACTAATCGATAGATATTGCTTGTATTATCTTTCGAATAGTTTTGTGCTGGTGCAGCACTAAGCACGGTATCGTGGTTAGGGTGCAGCCACACATGACGCGAATTTGGGCAGGGTTATATTGTTAGCGCTGCTGTTTTCGGGCGCGGCACCAAACGGCCCTTGACAACACTAACGCCGCCCGATAGCACGCGCTCGCCGATTTGTTATAAACAAATCGATACTGGAAACCGGAAGGCAAAGAAACATAACTATTTGAATATGAATTGAACAATGTTTCAGGATGTACTTTTACAAAACTAGTGGCGAACTAAGTAAAGCTTGTACTACTCGTACAAGGTAACCGATAAACGTACTTGTAATTGTTTTTGTATTTTGTTTGGAAAGGGTTGGATAGTAAGTCCTAGTGACCATTGCGACCTAGGAGATCTATTGTTGTCTTCCCTTCGGAAAAGTTCTGTTCTTCTTGCTGTAGGATAACATTATTCTATGTTGTGAGGACGTTTTACATACATTGATACTCATGGACACCCAGATCCGAGCCAAATATCTGTGTGTCACACATTAGTTGTCTCGTTTAGGTGGAGCGCATGACCCCCGGAAGCCAAAATTGAACTGTATTGCAGTAGACTCCAAGATCTTGTGGCATGAATACACCGGCTAGTCCAGGGAACTATCAGAAGGCCGGAGTGGAGTTTTATTATAATTTGTACCTTTGCATTTCGTCAGCTGAGCCAAATGATTACTAACTTTCAAACAATCACATGAAGCCAATAGTTTAGCAACGTTGCCACCGAGTCATAAACATAAGTAATTTCAGTTTTATGTAGCTAACGGTGCAATATCAAGTTTAGTGAGTCCTGTTAAACTAGTTTTCAAATAGAGTATCAAATCTGACTATAATGTATAGCCAGGCTCGCAATAGTTGAGTTAGTAAATAACAGAATATAATAACAATTTGGGCAACAGCATACATGCATAACCAAAATCATGGACAATATTTACAGTCAATATTACTTGTTATGCTTCCTTGCAACACTTGCTATCCTTAGCAATATTCTTTATCACATTTACAAAAAGATACTTGAAATGGGAATTATAGAGCATTTCAAATGGGACTAGTTAAGATTTCCTTTGACTTGATGTAACATGACGCCCGGAACAAAGGTAACCTACCTCCGCACGTCGCAATATTGCCCAATCGCGTGACGTGCTTTCAAAAGTTTTTGCTTAAACAAATGGAGTGCGACGCAACAATCGACTTTCGCCAAGACAAACAGAGGATGCGGCCGACATTGTCACCGACGCCTGAATACCCCGATAGTTTCAACACAACATTGTCTCGCTGTTTTCCTAAAATTACACGTTTAGAATAAACAAGGCGCGTATAAGTATTCCTAGCGGCGTCGCGGTTGTCCGAGCTTCGGTCACTGCGCGTCTTTGGGTGGCTAAAGGAGGATTCTAACACAATGAACAAAGGGAAGATCCGCGGGCGTTCTCCACAAATCAATGGGATCTCGTCAGGGGACGTAGCCTCCGCGCCAGGTGCTTCGCGGGAAGTGCTCCCCTCACCGCCCTCCGCCCTCCACGCACCCTCCCGCACAGACACGCACACGGAGGAAGCGCCCACGCACACATCGACCATACCGTACGCGCCGACGTATAGCGGGCTCGATTTATTAACGACGTGCATTCGTGCATGAAAAATGGCCGATATAAATACGCATTTTAGTCGACGCCAATTCCGAGGCCTCGTTATTTATAAGAAGCGCGACGCCGCCCGAAACGGCGCGTCACCAAAGCTCTTTGGCGGATCGGGCGTCAATGTTTACGAGACGGTTTACGGACGGACGCGCGTTTAATTGAGTTTGAATTAATATTAATACTTGTTGGGTACTGCGAAAGAAAGCTTTTTAAGATTATTGAAGTGAAATTTCAATTGAAATTGATGAGCGTTTTATACCTTAAAGCAATTAGTTCGATGATAGCCAACTGTCATTACTTACGGTTTTGTTGGGTAGCTTAAGTATTATATTATATAAAAATGTATGACACTAGCGCATTGAAATTGAGCACTGAATTTTACTTTAGTATTATAACGGTTATTCAAATTATGACAAATCAAAACCTTAGGGCGCCATGTCTCTTATTATCAAAACAATAAAAAAAAACAAAGATAAAGATTTCTTGGATTATGTGACAGTAATAAGTCAATTTAGTTCAACATTTTGAGCAATTATGATAGTTACTGAGCTACGAAATCATATTTTCGTCTGGAATCAGGTAAAAAGTAAAGCAGTTAACAAGGTACGCTTTCGACATTATGGATATTTTAAAAATTCCTGTAATTATAGAATATGAGTTCCATTGTGGCACCAACGCAGTACAAACAGTACGAACTTTACAAATGAACGCACAGCACGTTATTGGTTTGTCTGGTTTCGTTCTGGAAATTTTGACTTGAAAAAAGAACCTCGTCCTTCAAACCCCTCGAACTGGACACTTTGGTCAACAATGATGAAAGGCGATTGTAGAAGCTGATGATACTCAATCTACAGCCGAGCTAGCAGCAACTTATGATGTTAGCATCAAAACAATATTGGTCCATTTGAAAAGTTTGATAGATGGGTGCCCCACGAACTTAACGATCGCCAGCGCAACGTACGCGTCGAGACCTGCCTTGCACTGCTCGGCAGGCACAGAAATTAAGTAATTTTGAACTGAATTATTACGTGCGACAAATGCTCAGCAAGTTGGTTGGACCCTGGTTCGGCACCAATGGCCTAAATGAAAACTGACCCCAAAAAGGTGGTACTGCCGGTGTGATCCATCACAGCTTTTTACAAAACGGCATGAACATGACTGCAGATGTGTACTGTGAAGGACTGAAGACAATGATGGAGAGGCTCGCACATCTGCAACCAGCTTTAGTCAATCGGTCGTACCCTCTGCTCCTTCATGACAGCGCGCGATCGCATACTGCATGGACAACAGACAGTCTGCAAGCTGCAAGAATTGGGGTTGGAGGCTTTACAATCTTGCTCTAGCATCCGCCATACTTATCAGACTTTGCACTTACCGACGCCAGTCCAGATTTTAGCTAACGATCGAGCCGACGTTCGGCCCTCTCGGGCACCGTCAAATCGGAATGCTAACGGGTATTGCGTGACAGTCCAAGCTGAGGTCCCCTGGGGGGCCCTGGAGCCTATTCACTTCATGGAGCATCCGCCAAAGCGCCCTAAGAGCTTGATGGTTTCCCAAACCGGTAATGATAGTAATAGCGTGACGGCCCGAGCCAAGGCTCCCTCGGGAGCCATCGAGCTTAGTCACCATAACGCGTAACCGTGGTTCAGGCTAGTCGCCCCGAAAGCCCTGCCACCTTAAGTCTAGCGGATCTGTAAAGACTCCTAATGCCAACAGTGGTACATCCTGCCAAAAAAAAAACCTACCGACTTTTCCTTTTTCAAAATTTAGACAACTTTTAAGCGGGAAAAAGATCAGATCAAGAAGCAGTACAAAATACCTGTGAAGACTTTTTTGTCTCCCGTTCAACAGATTTTTATATGAAGGACATTAATAAACTTACACTGCATTCGCAAAGTTTATCGATTGCATGGGTAATTACTTTGAATAGCAGGATAAAAAAGTTTGAAAAAAAAAGATAAATTATTTCATACAAAACGGCAATTTAATAGGTAAAGACCGAATATAGAGATTCTTTGGACCGTTTCGTTCTAAGAGGAATGTATGGTCAGTTGGAATGCGCCGGTCAAGGAAGCTACGCATGGCGTTGAGTATCATTGGTAATATCCACAACTAACAAAGAATATTATCACCAGGTAGCGAAAGCCCAATGTGTCCTTCCGGTGCCACACTATATCATTCAAATATAGACCTTAACTCAAGTGACCGAAAGCTACATTTCGCCTGAGGTAAAACTATTATTTTTTTTATTTTAGCAGCATTGTTTGAATAAGCAACGTCTAAATGCAAAATCGTATTTTATGTGTCTTTCAATAAGGATAATTTTTAACTAGCTCGTAGGGAGTTTTTAGATTTGATACAGGGTTACCCGTCATCCGGTGTAAGTTGACACCGTGGGGAAGTTAGGAACTTTTTGGTTAAAAATTACCTTTAGATATCAAATTAATATAAATAAAATGACAAATAGAGGACGGGAAAAACCTCAGTTTTCACAAAGTGGTATAAAAGGATGAGTATAAAAGGAATCATACTTGATCAAAGCATGAAGATAAAAATATAAGAGAAAAAATAAAAATAAGATCTAGGTTATTTTTGAGTACCGCAACCTTATTTGTCAGGCTTTTATATATTGTGGCCTTGGCACAGTGCGTAACCTATCAAAACCTTTTTAAACTCAAACTCTATTACCCTCTATAATAGACGCAAAAGACTTTTTGTTCACATATTACACTATCATCAAAAAAACTGGAATTTTATGAAGCAAGCAAGGGAGCCATCCCTTATGAAGATTTTATCAGTTATGTATTTCTTATCATAGTAGTAAATATATTTCGAATGTATATTGAAGAAAATTTTAAAACTGTATTAGATTCAGAAGAAAATGGAACGAATGGAGGGAGTAAAAATACCTTCCTTTTACAAAGTTTAAATTATAAATTTTCTATAATAACTTGTTATCATTAGATTTACTGCAGTTTAAGTCTTTTCTGCGCATCACGTCGGTCAATATTAATATTCCTACAGTGTTAGATAGAGGGAACTATTTTTAATAATTACTACTTCCTCATCATGTATATTATACCAAAATAATAGGCCCACTGATTAGTTGAATGAACCATGTTTAAGAAAATCGTTCTAGGGCGTAAAAATTGAATTAACTACTAAATTATACATTACGTACCTTAATCGCCACTACTTCAGCATTTATTACAATCTGACAAGATAATAGTAATTCAAAAAAATTACATAATTCGTCAAGGAACGAGAAAAAAATTACAAGTAATGTGTGAGTTAATTAAAAAAACTTTTATCGGCTCACTTATTCATTTGCTTTGTGGAAACCAGCCATTGATGAGGCGAACCGATCGATTTAAATCAATTCCCCTATCTAAAGCTCGGCTCAAATGTTTTGATGTGTTTCAAATTAAACTTTATAACTGTACGATCGTAACTGTAGTCCGAACGAGAGAGCGTAAAGGTCATTATTACTAATTTATGCACGGTCCATACATTATGAGTTAATCGTAGTTCACAGATATCTCGTATGTTTTTTTACGAAACAAGTGGACGCGCAAGCTCCACAGTTATTCAGGTGTTTTAAAAATACTTAAGACTAGAGTTATTCAATTCTTAGATTGAGTCAGTCAGAGTCAGATCAATTAGCCTGCTTCGGTAGAAATTGCCAGCTGTAAATGAGAAAATCCTCCGAAACAGTAAATATTTTTTATCACTGTCTTATTTCTTTTCAATTTGTAACAAAATGAATTTTATATAAGGTTTCTTAATTACTGTTCTCCAACTCAAAATTAATGTTCTAAAAACATGAAAAAGAGTGAAATAATACGTTCCACGAGATTGATGTTTTAACCAACACAAAGATATAAATAATAATAACACGAAGCGTTCATCGGTATGCATTTTGTGTTCTCCCACAAAAAGCGATACCATTCTGCGCCTCGCAAACTGGAGGCGCGGCATCATTCAACCCGCTGTCTAGACCCAAAGAAATCGCAAACAGTAAAATGTCGAACGGAACCATAAAAAGTTGAGTAAAAGGCGACGAAAGAAGGCAGCGAATTTTAAACGAAACCAGTTTAATGAGGGTCGAATTTGAATACGACATGAGATTCCCACGAGGTCGCTCGCGGGAACGGAAGCCGCGGCGCTGTCGTCGCGTCGCCGCGCGTCGGCCGCGCGACATCCACCGGCGGAATGGGCTCGCGCCTACAACGGCCACCTTCGCGCGACCCCCCAATGTCCCGAGACACCAGCGAAAGTCGGCCACCAGCAAGGGCACGGAAAGAAATCGGGGCTCGCGGTAAAATTGGCGATAGGACGCACGCCCAAACAGGTACGCGCGTAATGATCCCCGTCGAGTATCGCGCTCCGCGACTACGCTCGGTCGACCGTGAGAAAACTGCCCCACTGGTAAAAGGATTTATTTGCTTAATCAACGGCGTTTCGCTGCGGGTTTATCTTTTGAAATATTCAAATTAGCGGCCCGCTAAATTTCATTCACTTGGATCGGTGTCCGGTCGGCTGATATGACGATATTGGAGTGCGAAGTCATTTTTATCTGTTGTTAATTAGGTGAGTACACGACTTTTTGCCGGGGATATATCTCGACGGGTAGCTCCCGAAGTTTGTTATTTAAATTGTATCAACAAATTACGCGTGTATTTTTTCGTCGTAAGTGAATACTTTTGAAAAGGAACCATAAATCTTGTATTTTAAATCATTTCTTTATCAAGTGAATCTGTTTTTTAGTGATAATAGTATTGGCTAGACTGTTCGTTTTTATATCAGCTTTAGACAACAAGTTTCGAGTTATTTTTTAAAGCTTTTTACACTTCGTGGAAATCGTTGCAACAGGCCTATTTACTTTTCGGAATATACAAGTTGTAAACATGAGGATCCCCGATCGGTTTGTTTGAGCTTGCTTTCGATAGAGTCAATACAACCTTAGCCAACGAACTCGCCCCGGCGCTTTTATTTGTGAACTTTTACACGGACAATTTGAACGCAAGCTTGAGAACAATGGCTAGCATAACATGTTGTACTTAAATATACTTATATGTATGCATATAAACACATTTGGAAGTACAAATGTATAAAATTAAACAAATGAAATATCTCAAATTGTTACACGATTTTTGTGAACTTATACAACGCTGTGCGACATATTCATATTAATTATTCTTTGGCGCAATTGCTAAGCTATTGGCATTGACACCGAGGGTCATGGGTTCGATTCTCATATGGGACAAGTATATGCGAGACCTGGTTGTTTTATGAGAAATTTGTGTATATAGTTATTATATTTTTTAAAGAAATATATGATAAATACGAGAAAATACTACCAGATACTTATGGCGTCGATGGTTAGGAATTTACCGCCTCCAATGGTTATCAAAAATTTAGGGTTTTTAGTTATATTATCAACTTTAGTGTTAGTCTGTGAGGTCATTGTAGACCTCCGGCTGCGTCACTTCAATAAATAATTGATATATTTTTTGTTTTAACTTTGTTAACTTCACTCTGGACTATATATATAGATTGTGGGATCTGAAAGGAATGCGTAGAAGCTGTCGCCATAGGTTCTGTGGCCGATGAAGTTTTCTTTGGCATCAGGACTAAAAGCAAATTGTAAACCATCACATGGCACATGATACTCCGGGAGCTTGAATTAACTTACAATATTTTTTTATAAATTATATATCGTAAATCGTAAATGAACATGTATAAATCGAACAAATTATAAATCTCTTAATATGCAAGTTCATGCGACGTCTGAAGCTAACCTTATATCTATTATTTTTCTTATAAATGTTTGTCTTTTTCTTATAAAATCTATTCATTCAATCGATGTTTTCTATCATTTTGCAACCCAGTGTCATTTTAAAAACGCGTCAATAATTAAAAATAGTCAAGTTCTCATGACCTTAAAGCCATCGCAATTCTGAAGAAACGATTACATTATGCAGCAGGTACTCCTTATCACTAAGCTTTGTAAACCCTATTGAATCACGATTTTTAAACACAAAGAATTACGTCAATTTTAGCTTTTTTACTAAGAATGATACCTAGAGACAGAATCAGGTACTGAGTATTTTGCGTTACTAGGCAGAAATTCGTGCGTTAATAGGCTGGTCAAACACATACTTAGCAACTTTTTTTATTATTTTCAATCATCAGGGGGTCAAGCGAGGATCGAGTTTGCTTATTACACACTACAGTTTTGATTAGCTGCTTTGAATCAGTTCCAAAATAACTAAATCCACTAAGAAGTTACATGGTCGAAAATATATTACCAAATTAGTTATAAGCAAGGAAATTTTGATTTTGTTTGTGAATTTATGTGCTTAGATACAATGTAAACGAAGGGCGGAAAATTCTAGAAACTTCTGGCGCAAAGGTAAAGTTTAGTATTCTTAAGTCCATGGCAATATTTGCGGATCCGGCAAATGTCTATACGGCCCACAAATAAAGGCCGACGGGGCCGATGATTCAATGTTGACAAGTCCACTCACACTGCTCTCCGGGCCGCATTGTCTTCGAGGGAACCTCGGCACAATGTTATCTGCCAGTGATACGACCATTACCAGCGGAATGCGATAAGAGATAGCGGTAACAATAGGAAAAATTTTTACGCAACGCGTAGCTATTTTATGGTTGGATTCAATACTAAGAATTAAATTTATAAATATATATACAGCTGGGCGCAGCTTTCAATTGCTGGTGCCAGCACCAATGAAATTGTTAATTGCAAAATTGATAAGTTGGGACTTATCATGTGCACAACATCGTGCATATTTTCGAAATAATAACCAAAAAAATATATATATTTCGTAGTGAAGTCCTCAAATCCGTAGTGGGGCCTTTGCCCCGCAGTGGGACTTATATAAGCTGTAACTTACTTTTTACATTAAAAGTACATTTTATGATTCACTTTTAAAAAGTTTTGTTCGTAAAATGCACATTTTTTATCTTTATACTGTGTAAATTTAAATCGATTAAAATAAATGGAAAGGGATTCCTCCATCTTCCCATGCTTCTCTCTGACCTTCATAACGTATTTCTGCAGTCATTTTTTTCACGAAAATCCTTACTAATATTATAAAGGCGAAAGTTTGTATGTATGGATGGATGTTTGTTACTTTTTCACGCAAATACTACTGAATGGATTTTATTGAAACTTTACAATAATATAGCTTGTACATCAGAATAAGACATAGGCTATAATTTATATACATATTTTATGTATATCTGTCTTTCTGTCTTGATGTTACACCTTAAGCCTATTCTACGCAGACGTAGTCGCGGGTAGCAGCTAGTTAACAATAAACCCAGGACAAAAAAAATTACTTCGCTTGTTATCTTTGCAATATCGATTTTATCATTTGCATTAGGACTCCGAACAAAATCTGATAGCATTTTATAGCACAGCAAATTTTATCGCTTGGTGAAATCAGTTTAGAAAACATCGTTAAATCCGAAAATAGTATCAAATTAATAAGGATATATCGAATTGCTGATATAAAGATTTGAAATCCTAAACCTAACGTCGTATGAAACTCAATAAACATTTTTTTTTTATATTTTAGTACTCAATACGATATGATAAAAAAATTGATAAAATGCAAATCGTCACAGATAAAGAATCAACTCATGAAACAAGATAATCAAATGATTTTTGTTCACGATTAAAAAGGCCCAGTTACGAGGAAGAACTTTTGATTTTAAATAATAAAGAAGAAATGTTATTTAAACGTGTTGTATTATACAACATAATACAACCTATAGACAAATACGTTATTAAACAGATATCAAATCCCTTTAATATCGTTATATTTCTAATGTTACTAAAAGCAACTTTTAAACAAACAAACAATTCTACTTAAACTGAGATATTATAACAGTTGCCTTAGGATATTCATAACACTAAATTTAAGGCTGTACCTGAAACTTTTAGCATTTGGATCGTACTTCGTTCTTGTGCTAAGTTGTGGTAGTTAGTGACGTAGGTAGTGACGCGTCTGTCCATACGTAGAATAGGAAAAATTTCCGCACGTCTCTATGACAATAAAACTGTATCCTAAATAAGACGAGTAACAACACCGGTTTAGCCGATTCCATGATAACAGACAAAAAATTATTTCGATTCCACCTTAGTATCAACGTGGATACGGCTTTCTGCCGGTTGCATAAATAAAATCTCGAATACTGTACCCATAGCTGTGATGACTCTCCGATGCATTATTTATTTATTATTCTAAAATTTTAATCAATCAGGTCAAAGTGTGCGTTCAGGGCGATTAGCGGCATCTAATCTCGAATATGTACAGTAAGAGCTATATGTACATGTAGTTCATGTGACTTATCTTCAGCGTAAAAAGAAGGACGTAGGACGATGTTAACTTAGAAATTTTGAATTGTTAAGTTACGCGGCTTGCTTGTCCTAATAAATATCACGAAATGGCGGAGAAATTTGGAATCAATGAACGAGGTGTTTTGTAAAAATTTCTAATTAGAAAGCCGTATTATTAAATGAAATGAAATTTGCTTGAAATTCAAAATAGCATGTCCATGTATTCATGTGTAGTAAAGTTATAAATAGTAAACTAACAAAAATAAGTGTAATATTTTGCAGTCTTATTTCTTTGATTTAATTTTAATATTTTTTGTGGTTTTAATGATAGCGCGAGTTTTAGTTCGGAAAATTAAATTTTATATTATCATTTCAATCTTATGTTTATATTATACCAGAAATCCGCCCCAACTCCGCATGGGTGCAATGTATTATACATATGAACCTTCCTCTTGAATCACTCTATCTATAAAAAAACCGCATCAAGATCCGTTGCGTAGTTTTAATGATCTAAGCATACATAGGGACAGACAGACAGCGGGACGACTTTGTTTTATACTATATAGTGAAGTACAGCAAAGAGACGTTTACATTTCAAGTGACATTTTACCACAGTCACTCACTTGTTTTGCCTTCCCGGAACTTCACTAACAACTAAACTTTATGGTATGGTATTAAAGTTTAAATTGACTTTTAAGTATTATTGTGAATCTTTTGTACAGGAATATAGAAAAGTGTTGTTTTTTCACTTCTTCAAGCAATTTTTTAAATTTATCTCTCCGTAAGAACCATCATACTTCAAGGAATATTTAAAAAAAAGAATTAGTGAAATCGGTTCAGCCGTTCTCGAGGTTTGCGCTTAGCAACACATTCAACGATTCATATTTATATATAGAGATATAATTCTTCTGTAGGTGTGTATGTCACTCCTCCTTACCCGCGTGGACCGATTTAAATGAAATTTTTTGTATATGTTTTGGTCATTCGAGAATATTTTAGATAGAAGTGCCGGTCCACATTTTTTTTTAATTTTATTATTTATAAGTTGCTGTCGGATTTAAGCCGTGTGTACAGGACGACGTCTGTCCAGTTCGCTAGTATAAATTCAATATTTGCTTTTACATAGTATTTACTTAAAGTTTGAATATGTCACATTAGGTTCATGTTATGTAATGATAGAGGGAATGAGATTTAATGTAGAAGCTAAGAAATGTAATACATATTAAATTATTTATTATCATGTATAAATACACAGTTAAAATATCATATAGAATTTAACGACTACAGAGGTCCTTCAAAATAAATTCTAAAGTATTAAAAATTTTATTAGGCAAAGAGTCAAACATAGATTTCGCTTCTGATAACAAATGTACCCAAAAAGATGCTTATCGCCATGTTAATCGCGCAGATAACAACAGATGCGATCAAGTGAGGATGGGACGCTGTTTGCTTATCAGGGCTTATTTAAAAAAGTCCAAGAGCTTATTGCACCGTGCGCTCACATTTTAATTCAATGTACTATTATAACTGAATTCGAGTCTCTCTGTCAACATGTCGATTTCAATTTTGACACGAATCTTAAGATTGAATCGGATGAGGTAATTAAATTGAAATTATGTGGTACTTTGCCTAGCGTTGTTCTATCCGCGGGACAAAGAAATAACTCGACCAAACTATTGAAAGTCTGAGACTAATTTGTCCACGAAGTTTGTTAAACTGCCTTATACGATTAGAGCTGAAAAACAAAGAAGAGCGGGGAGTTTTATTTTTAAATAAACAGTTATCACAAAAACTCCTGCACGTTTAAAATACAGAAAGAGAGCCATTTGGACCTACATGCCTGTTCAAATTCAGTTCTCAAATTTGAATATCCTTTGTCACATTGCAGTTTCTCTCCATTTATTCCCCGAGTTATTACAAATAGTAAGCTTATAGTGAAAAAAACCTAAATTCTACGAAATAATTTTGATGAACAAAACGAATTTGTTTTTTATCACCGATTCTACGAACAAATTAAGCGAGTAAACGTAACACGTAAAGTACACGGTACACACAAGACGTCATTAAGTATTCTGATTTTTTTTATGTAAGAAATTGGCAAACGACTGGCTCACCTGATGTTAAGTGATAAACGCCTGCCAATGGATATTTGCAACACCCATAGGGCAGGTTGCAGGTGCGTTGCCACCTCTTGATAACGTGGGCCCCGGCTACCTCACTCACCAGACGAAACGCAGAAGTGCAACACTTCTACTTTACGCCGGTCTTTTGTGCGGTCGTGGTACTAACCCGGACGGACCTGCCCATTCGTGCAACAGTGATGACTATTGCGTGGCCGTAAAATATTTTTATATATGATGTAATGTAATTTAAATATATGATGGCGCAGTTGCTAAATGCTATTGCTATATATGCTATGAGCTTCGGCAACAGGGGTCATAGGTTCGATTTCCATACGGGACAAGTATTTGTGTGGCTCATTGATAATTGCTGCCAAATCTGGGGGCTCATTTTCAAGAACTTTCATTTATACGTTCATTATTAGATGGAGTCTTTGATTTATACGAGTGTTGCTTCTCGCCTATCTCAAAGAAAACGTGTATGAAGGACGAAAGGAATTTACGGCAGACTTTTATCGAGGATTTGTTTTACGAGCAGAGCGAGGGGTCAGCTCGGACCGGTCCCCGGCGTGCCGTAACAGTAATCATGATTTCGGACGTCCGCCTCAAGCGCCACCGTGAGAATCATGAATGGGGGCAGCGTGGCCATTTCACCGGAGCCCCTCCCCCACCCCCGCTTAAGAGTGACCACGCGATTAGTGAATGAACGAGCGCACGGCGCGGCTATCTCGCCGGCTGACCGGTTCGCGGGTCTGTATGCGCGCTGGCTTTTTGTGTTGCCGAAGAGCGGTTTCCGGTGCCACGGGCGATCGCCACTTATGAATGGAGCGACGAATCTCATCTGACAAGTCTCGCGACGCCGAGCCTAGGTGTTTTTTTTAGTGATGTTTTTTTTTCGCCATTTCCTCTCATGCTAATGTGTTCCTAGGCGAACGTAACGGTACATTCGACGTGGTCCGAGGTCGAATTGATTGTTTGAGTGCCAAATCCTTAAATATGCGAAGAGCTTACAAAACCAGTGTAATTATTTTAACTGCGGGAATTTGAAAGTACCATCACCCTAAACGTAAACCTCTACACATTGGAACCTAAATCAAATATTAAGCTTAATTAAAAAAGCTATAAACAGTTATTTGTTATTTTTTTATACATATATACATTATTTTACGGTTTCCATATCATGGTATAAGATACCGAAGGCGTTCTAAAATTTGACAAACACGAAAGATTCAAACACGGAAAAATAATTTGAGGAGCACCAAGTTGCACGAGAATTACCGCCAATCTCTTTAAGGCATCCGCCCATGTACGACCACATAAAACTAACACAATCCACTATAATGTGCATACATAAAATAAATGTAGGCTTTCATTAAGGGGCAACCCTGATGAAGTTGTCAAAATTCGACGTTCTCGACCATCGAGAGCCGCAAAAACCGTCATACGCGTAAACCAGAATCCGCGCGCTCCGTGCCCAATGAATAAATTATGGACGGCGGCCGATTTCCATTCGTCCCGTGAGAAAAAAAGTGACTAGCACCGAAACAGATAACAGAACGCTCTTAACTAACCTTGTTACATTTAATTAGTGAACCGTTTGGAAGGATATCGGTGTAATTGTTTCCGTTTCGATCAATAATCCGTAGTTCGCCCGCTGCGCGTAAAAAGTGCATTTTATAAAGCTCAAAGAGGTGGCCTGCCCAAATTGCGCAATTTCGCGAAAGACATATGAGCATTTAGCGTGCGCAAAAACTCCGCACGTGAGTTCGCGTACGGCGCATCGGATCGCAATAAAATCTCCACTCAGTTACCAGCTACTAAGGAATGCGAAATGTGCGAGACTTCTGCCTGTCATATTTTTTCCTCGCTTGTCAACGGCTAAGTGTTTTCGCGCGAAAAAGCGAGAGATGCGTTCGAACGCCCCTTTTGAATTTTCGCCGATGTCAAGAGTTTAGTTTTTTCTTCTTTGTTTATTGAAAAGTTTCTGAGGTTTTATTATCTGCCGTGTATCACATTACTTACGAACGAGTAATTATCGTAAATTTTAGGATCGCTCGTGCTTTCATTTTCTTGGGCTTTGAATAACGAAGCGCGGATGCGAAATTATTTTATGCTAACTAATATAATGAATAAATTAAAAATGTAATGTCTCGTTGGCGATAAAAACTCTTTTATGTCGAAGAATGTTTTTCAAAAATTTACATTTTTATATTATTCACGGTAATTCACGGTAATTCACGGTATTCAAGTAACGGTGAGCGCTCGAAAAGAAAAATGTTGTAGCGCGATCTGTTATCTTGTGGGAGCACAATTAATTTTCAATTCGCAACGAAAACGCTCACTCGAGGTTTATTTCGAAACGTGGCCGGCGTTGCACACGCCTAGAAGCCTGACAGTAGCTCGACTCTTGTATTGGACCTATAGATGGGACAGCGGACGTATAAAGAAGATTACTACACCGAAGGAACTGTTAGCCGGATGGCAGGAAGCGGCCGGTGAGAAACCAGAAATTCAACATCACCATAAGACACGAGAATATCGCCTTCCGCTAATTATTCACGATATATTGCGTAACGGTGAAACGCCGGGAAGGGGACAGGGAAAAAACACGTTCCGCAGGACGCATCGCCCGCGCCGGAGATGACGCCGAGATATTAAACACCTTAAGCGATTAGCATACGGCTCATTATGCGACAATCGTTCGGAGCACTTGATCGCTCTCTGTGTATCTTTATTCATATTTCGTACGATCTCGATAAAGCAAAAATGGACTCTGATCGATCGATGCCATCGCGGATTATGTGCTCTGTTGACAGTCATATAGAATGTAGTTTTCTAAATCAATACGACGCGTATCGGTCTGTTTATGGTGGCACGTAATTAAACATGCCATAGCAGGAACCAGGAAGAGTGTCGTACTATCTCAACAGTTAGCCGGAAGTCGCTCGATCTGTGAGTTCATTCATAAATGAGTGTCTCGAGACGACAATGTTATATGGCGTGTTAAAGTTTGAAGCAATATTAGCTTCTATTTTTAGGTAGCGAAGGGACGTTATTGCTCTAGCAATTTATTCGTAATAATTAAGCATGAATGAAACGAAGCATTTAATTGAGTAGAAATGTGAACAAACATTGTGTTAGCTTCTCGACGCTCGGTTTTTAGCGGCCTTATTTGGTAAATAGTCAGTGGTCCCCGAAATTAAGGATGAATTTAACTGATATTTTATAATTTTTGAAGGAAAAAATGCTTGGCTAGGCATTTAATATTGTTTTTAACATTTAAAGAAAGTGAACAAGACTGCTAAAGTCTAAATGTACTTATTAAGATTCAAAAACTACCACCAGATGGTAAACAATGGTAATAATGGTATTTTGCAGTAACGGTTGCGGCTTTAAACTTTATTTTGTCAAACAACAAACAGCACTTACCATCGAAATAAATTAAAGATACAAAATAAGTTTAAAAGTAATAATCAAAACATATCAACTTAAAAAATAAATGAAAAGAAACCAGTTATTCCACATAGTTATAGATAAAAAGTTATTAATATATTATAAAAAGTTATAAATATATTATAAAAAGTTATAAAATAATAAAACAAAATAGAAGAGATAATTTATGCAAATTCTAATAATAAAAATAATAAACAATTTTGTAAGTATTAAAAACTAAATTGAACTAGCAAATTTTATGACGTGAAAAATGTTCAAACGTCATGCGTTATTAGTATAATACGTTATGGGACCTATCACAATTACTGTACAATGAAAAATTAAAAAATAAAAATAATAATTATTAAAAAGAGACGCTTCCAAATTTGATAACAAAGCATAAAATAATTATAAGATATTGACAAATTTATTTTGTTGTAAATTAAATAAAAATGAGACTTCGAAATTCGAAAACAAAGCACAGAGGAATGAGCGTGGAAAGACGTATGGGCGTCGCGCCATCGCTCGCCGGGGCCAAAGGGCGCGGCTCTGATTGCTGTAATCGAGTTAAGGCGAGTGGACAACCAAACAAAAAGAGCACCACAATTAGCGGGCGTGGGCGCAGGAAGCTCCCGCCGTTCCACTAGGGACGGGGATTCAATTATGAAGATGTTTTCGTTCCACTAACAAACGTCAACCGCGGTGGCACTCATTTACATAGCGCCGTATCGACTTTGCCGCGTTTTTATTCGACTTTTTATTTTTCTATAGTTAAATGGCAGTTGCCAGCAGCGTGATGACATTGAAACTATAAATACAAAAAGGTTTTATTTATATTATAGACTAAATTTTTTTCATTTTATGGCCTTATTATTCTAACTAAAAATTTTATATGTTTTAATAATAGAAACAGGAACTCGTCAGGCACTAGTTTCACGAGGATAATTGGATTATTACGACATGAACAAAAAAAAACAGTCAATTAAACGTAAGGACATGTGGGCAACGGAAGTAGAGTCGGCGCCGACGCAGATGTGAAACACCATAATTTCTTTGATTCAATTAGAATATAGTTTGTTACGACCCTTATCTTTAACATCTATCGAGGCTGCGTCGGAGATAATGTATCTATATGCGAGGCGATTTACAACGATAAACAGATATAGGGGCAATGAAAGCATATGATGTTCTTGTTTTATCGATATTAGGTCGTTGTTAGTTCGTCGGTTTATTCGTGGCTACTTACTTTTGGAACCGGCTCGTACAAATTATCTATACGTGTGTGACTCACTATAAAACTTGCTTTTACTTTGTCGACGTGTGAGTTCTACGTGTATATAAAACTAACCTACATTTATATGAATTAGTCTGCAGTTTTTGTAACAGTTCATTATAGTCGGAAATGAGTTGAAATCTCTTATGTGATTTTGATCTTTGTTGAAGTTAGATTTAGAAACTTTTGAGATAGGTTATATATTAAAACTTATACTTTTACTGTTTTTAAATCATGTAATAAAAAAATACATGACGTGGCAAATACCTACGAAGTATCTATTTTGGTCACTTGGTTGTTCTATTACCTTGTTAAATTTCACCAATCACAACGTTTGCATTAAAACAAAAAAACATAAAATATGAAATAATTGCTGTAAAAATAAAAAAAATACTGGTAAACAGATTAAGGTAACAGAGAATAATTTAAAATGGCCAAAAAACAACACATGAGTCAAAGTTTTTACTGCTGATGCAGGTTAAAAATAAAACCTCAATTTGAATAATCAGTTGCGTTCGGTGTATCCATCGATATTAGCGGCCCGTAGGACACCGCGCCACACTCGGCAGGAAGTCGCTGCCGGACGCGCGTATCTAGCTACCTTATCTATCTCGTTTCATTTAGAGCTTTGTCATACTCGGTCCTCTCGCTCCGACCGACCTATGCGCGTCCTTATCTAGCGCACGACACTTTGCATATTGCGCTCCCGCTCCTCCTAGTACCATTCCACTTGGTATTGCGTAATGAGCGGTCGAATTTTTATTTCGTATTTTCCTACCGTTACTCGTTATTACGACATCATCTGGGGTGAAATGAGTTGGGCACCAACTTGCCGTATGGTAATTTCCCTCCATTACAGAACTTTTTCTACGGTTGTCTAATGCTACTGTATATTTGATGGTTTTAATCATCGGATCTCGCATTAAAAATAAGACACACATAATTAGAGGTACGGTTATTATTTTAAGCTGTTCGATACTCATTGTAACAAAAAGCTTGTCGAAATCCCATTTTCTCAAAACGTGTATTCGATAAATATTTCAGTCGTTCAGTCTGTGAAGTTCTTCTATTTTTTATCTAATCGTCATTAACCCGTGTTCGCATAGATTGAGCAATAATAAACCGGGCCGTATTTA